GGTATAGACTGAATTCATAAGGTCTTTGAATTGAGGGGATGGCTGTCAAGCCAAGAATTCAACTTCTTGTGTGGAGGAGCAAGTCTTACCATCATCAACTTCCTCTTCTGATGAATACAGCTAGTTTAGGAGGAAAAAATTGCAAAGATAACTTCCACTCAGATAGCCTAGAGGGGACAATAGAGCATTAAATAGGAAGCAACACAATCTATGGACAGAGTGGAAAAGGAAGGCATTATGGCTTAGGTTTTGTACGTTTCAATCATCCCACAGCTAGTTGTTGTCGTACACTTGCACTCTCACTCCCTTCTGCACCCACCTTTATGAGATCTATAGGAGATGGCTCCAATGATCACTCCTGCTGTGATGGCTTCAATATAGACATACCCATGATTGCTTCTTTAGCTTCTCTGTCTCAGAAGCTTGTTCAAGGTCATAGGCAGGGGCCAGAACACCAAAACATTGGGAATGCTCAATAAATCACCCTATCCCCAACTAGCAAGTGTGTTTGTTCCTGGGCTCCTTAGGGTTTCTGTGTCATGCCCTTATGGAGAGGCTGAAAATGAGGATTACATATTTTTGCATTTGCTTAACTATGTACATGTTGTTTACCCCAAGTAAACTATAAACTCTTTAAAAGGAGAGAAAGTTTTGTTTTAGTCTTTGTTTCTCCAGTGCCTAGCACATTGTGGCACCCAGTGAGCTCTTAAGAAATACTTGTTGAATTGAATCAGGGTAGCAATTGACATGCATAGATTTTGTATGTATATATAGATATATAAGAAATGTTACATATAATTGTATATAATTCATATATTTTCAATACACATATATACATGTATATATTTTATTTTTACATTACCTTCATTTGCCAGCATTTTGTTCCTCTTCTATCCAAGTAACTCTCTTTAATCTATCAGTCAATCAAGCAACAAACATTTATTAAGTTCCTACCTTTGTGTCAGAGATTAGTGCTCTTTTTTTTATATATAGATAATTCTCTGGGAGAAGGAGTAGGAGGGATACTGAGAGAAGCTATGCTTATATAAAAAGCCAGAATATGTCAATAAAATTTTGTAAAATGAAGGGGCAGCTAGGTGGTACAGTGGATAGAGCACAGACCCTGAAGTCAGGAGGACCTGAGTTCAAATCTGGCCTCAGATCAAACATTTGACACTTACTAGCTGTGTGACCCTGGGCAAGTCACTTAACCCCAATTGCCTTAAAAAAATGTAAAATGAATAAACTTTTCAAAAAGAACATTGTTAGGAAAATTGACATTTAAGTTTATATTTTGTTTTTTGTATTTTTAATGTTTGTATATAACACTTTAGTTGATTATAAAAAGGTTGGACTTGTAACTTAATTATCCTAGCATTTTTCACAATGCTATGCATATAATACATGCCTAATAAATGCTTATTTCTGCATTAACTGCAACATTTTAACAAAATATTCTTGCTATCTTTGTCATTTTTGTACAAGAGAAAAGAATTGTAATGTTCTTTTCCATTTGTCAAATTGGTATACACACATATATACACATAAAACTAATTCCAGACTACTATAAGGAAAAACATAATGTATAAAATATGCTGACTCATAAATCTAACATTGTATACTTTAAGTTAATTAGTCCATTTTAGAAGGAGTCAGAGTCCCTACAGAGAAAATTCAAACTAAACCATTTGAACACCTTCTTATATTTGTGATTTCTACTTTCATAATGGAAACTGGGGTGTATGGGGTTTTCAAGGAAAACTAGCACTTCTAGTGTGAAGACTTGCTGAGCTCTTTTCAGGGCTACTCATCCACTTTTGGTGTCCACCTAGCACTCAACTCTGGCTCTGAAACGTTGTAGCATGCATCACAGCCACATTCTGGTAAAACCATTTCTGCAGATGGACTATACCAGGTTGAGGTAACTTACAGGCTTCAAATTCATTGGTGGGTTAGGGGGTTATCTGCCTCAAGCATGTGAAGACTTCCCAGGGAAGAATGGGCAGATGAGAACAATTTGTTCCAACGGCTGAAGCAGGTGCCGTGGAGTACTTAGAGTTTGGTCAGACACCAAAGACATTAAGGTCATCAACTGCATCCTGGGCCATCACCAGTCATCCTGACTTTTGTCTTGCCACTGGACTCTGATAACTCTAAAAGAGAGAGTGAGGCTGACAACTTTATGCAACTCTGCCTCACTTAAATCTAATTCACATACAAGTCAAGACATCACCTTCTGGTGTCGTTGGTCCTCTTCAAAAACAAAGGACAAACAACAACAAGGGATACAAAGACAGAAATGAAAAGTCACTTTTCTCAAGGAATTCATAATCTAAGGTTGGGAGAGAGTACAACACAATGTGTACATATTTGTTACGTACTGTGAAGATACAAAATAGATATAAGAAAATAGGGGTGGAGAGGAGAGGGTATAAATAGCTGGGGAGATCATGAAACACTTCACGCAGAAAGTTGTATTAGTTGAAGGAAACTAGGGAATCTAAGAATCAAAGGAGAGGAGGGAACTCATTCCAGGCATGGGTAGCAGGTAGTGCAAAAGCATGGAAATGGGTAATAGAATATCACGTGTGAGGAACAGTAAGTAGGCAACATTGACTGAATTATGCGTAAAGGAAAATAACATATAAATAAGGTTGGAGAAGTCAATCGGAGGCAGGTTGTGAAAGACTTTAAATGCCAAACAGAGCATTTTATATTTGATCCTAGAAGTAATAGGGAGCCAATAGGGAGCCACTGGAATTTATTAAGTAGATAAGTTACATGGTCAGACACGGACTTTAGGAAGATCACTATAGCACTTGTAACTTATAGCAAAGAATTTTTTTAAAAGAGAGAAAAGGCAGTTCAGCAAAACCAATACATCAACCAGGTCTGAGGATATCTCTGATATTCCATCCTCATTTTCTACCACTTCTGCAAAGAAGGGTGGGGAAATGTATTTTCTCAATTGTCCCTCAGGTCCGAGCTTCTGTTTTCAGCTTCGTTTTTGTTATTTGCATGGCTGTGGTAATTTTTTATATTGTTTTCTTAGTTCTGCAAATAACAAAAATACATTTCTCCACCCTTCTTTGCAGAAGTGGTAGAAAATGAGGATGGAATATTACGAATATTCTCAGACTGGGTCGACGTATTGGTTTTGCTGAACTGCCTTTTCTCTTTTTTAAAAAATTAGGCAGTATGCTAAGCGCTTAACAAATATTATCTCATATCCTCCTCACAACAACCCTGGGAGGTAGGAGCTATTAATATTCCCATTTTACAGTGGAAGAAACTGAGGTAAACAGAGATTGGATGATTTACCCAAAGTCGCATAGCTAGTAAGTGTCTGAGGCAGGACTTGAAATCAAGTCTTTCTGACTCCACACCCAGCATTCTGTCCACTGAGCCACCTCGTTGCCTCTGTCTTAGCTATTGCTGCCCTCCAGAGAGATGCCTTCCTGTTCAGTATGATAGTTTTCTATGGTGACTACCAAAAGGGTATTTCATAGGTTTTTAACTTTTAAAACATGTTTGAAAAAATCCTATATTAGTAAAGTTGGTCTTACATGTGTTTTATATTCCGTGAGTGTATTGCTTTTTAAAACTTGAATCTGCTTTAGGCTTAGCCTATAATACTGAGATGAGAAATGCCTCCTCTTGTAGGAGATTAGCTTTGAAAAGAGCATGGCTAGGGCAGCTAGGTGGCACAGTGGATAGAGCACCAGCCCTGGAGTCAGGCGGACCTGAGTTCAAATCTGGCCTTAGACACATAACACTCACTAGCTGTGTAACTGAGCAAGTCATTTAACCCCAACTGCCCTCACAAAAACAAACAAACAAACAAAAAAAAAACAAAAAAGAAAAACAAAAACAGCATGGCTACATGTTCTGAGTAAAAGGTGGAGCAGACTTTGGTGCTTTCAGAGGAGGCAATTGACATGGCCATGCTTTATGAATAACACTTTGGCACCTATGTGGAGGATTGGAGAAGGGAGAAACTTGAGGCAGAAGGCCAGTTAAGAGGTTATTGCAGTTATATAGGAAAGAGCCTGAAATAGAGTGATAGCTGTGAATGGAGAAGAGATAGATGCAAGAGATAGTGTGAAGGCAGAAGCAACAGAATTTGGCAATTGACTAGGAAATAGCCCTGAAGTTTTATTTCATGTCCATTGGTAAAGATGATTTAAAAAAAATGGAAGCATTCAGTGTTTGAGGGGCTATGGGAGGACAGATATTCTATTATACTATTAGCAGTATTGTGATTTGATGCTGGACGCGGGAAAACAATTTGAAATTATGCAATTAAAATTACTAACTTGATCATACCCTTCAGCCCAATTATTCTGTTATTGAACATCTAGCTCAAGGAGGTCAATAATAGAAAAAGGCCCTATGTATAACAAAATTATCATAACAGTAATCTTTATTGTAGCAAAAAAAATACAAAAACCCCTGGATATAAAAGGGGTGAATATAAATTGCAGATTTAGCTGAACAAATTGTGGCATATGAATGTAATAGCACAATAATAATAATGATGATTACATAGAGTTTTTAAATTTGGAAAGCATTTTGTGCATATTCTCTTATTTGATCCTCGCAATAATCCTGTGAGATCGGTATGGGCATTATCCTTATTTGTAGATAAGTAAATTGAGGTTCAGAACACTTTTCAGTAGTCACAGGTAGGAAATGTCAAAGACAAGATCTGAACCCAGGTCTTCCTAGTCTAGAACTCTCCTGTGTTAAGCTTCTAAAAGTCACAATGGAAAAGGACAGGTATAAAAATTATAGAATACCACCAATTCCACCCAAATTTTAATGTTTCTCAGAAGGACATAAAGATAAAAAAAGCTTTGGAAATGTGTAATAAATTACTATAATGTTAAGAAGAAGTTTGCACTAGTTCTTTAGTTTTTGCTGAAACAAATTAAAATCTATTAAAATATATAAACAAGATGTAATTAAAAGACATTTCCTCCTCCCTCCCCGACTAATAGGTCCCAAGGGAAGAAAGAAGAAGCTATCATCTTTTTAAGAGATTCCATCAAATTTGGTCCAGAGTTTGCAGATGCTTACTCAAGCCTAGCTTCACTGTTGGCTGAGCAGGTAACCAGTTTCTTTTCCTTCAATACTTTAATTATCTGTGATTTCATCCGTGTTAAACACTAGACAAATCTCTATCTCCTGCTCTTATCGTTACTTCCCTGGTCTCCTTGCCTTTCTTCTATGATAAGAGAATTTTTCTGTTTTGGCTTTATTGCTGCCATTTGCTTGAGGCAGCAAGCCACATCACTAGCTAGTGAATGCAGAATCGAGATGACATCAGACTTTAGCTGTGTGATTAACTGGTTAGTGATAACAAAATTCATAAATCAGTTTTATTGTTTCTATTTACTCAAGGTGAGCATGTGAAGTAACTAGGTACAGTTCATGGTTAGTATGTAAATTCTAGCTATGTCCCTAGTGTTTACTGACCAATTTATAATTTTATCAGATATAAATCTTTTCTTCTGCTGTGTCCTTGATGTGTAGATCTTTACCTTCCCTTTCTGCTCTCTGTCAAATTACATTGTTTCTGTCTTGCTGATGTACCTAAGACCTATATAAAATTGCTGAAACTTAGGCTTAGGACTCATTGGTTTTTTTATACCATGAGTCTATGCTGAGCATACAATAAACTACTTATTAAATGTTTCTGTAAACAATAAGCATAATTGGCAATAGTACCTATCAACAAATCCTTGGACAATTTTCATGTCACTTCACATAATTTTATGTCACTTCATGTTGACTCTGCTTAAAATGTACTATCCATCTTACCTCTAAGTCCTTCCCTTCCTTCAAGGCTCAACTCACATGTCACATCTTCTGTGAAACCTTTCCTGACCCCACCCCCATCCCTACCTGAAGGAATAACTTACTCTTTAAATTTCCAGAGCACTTTGCTTAAATTCTTCTTTTGTCTCTCTCTCTGTCTCTCTCTGTCTCTCTCTCTCTGTCTCTCTCTCTCTCTTTCTCTTTCTCTCTCTCTCTCTCTTTTTCTCTCTCTCTTTCTCTCTCTCTCTTTTCATGGCTATATTGTGTATGTTTTCCCTTACTCTTCTATTAGATTGTAAGCTCCTGCCAAGCTGGTTTCTGATCATAGTATATCATTATCTTCTTATATATCCTCTTATATTTGTGTTTCAAAATATTATGGAGACCATATTTTCTATTATTCTTTTAAGTACATTAATTATTTAAAATATGATCCTATCATGCTATTGCCAATTATGCTTATCATATATAGAAACTTGACACGTATTAGATAGGTAATAATTTTTGTTGAATTGAATTCATGCTTAGACATTATGTGTATTTACATGTATATATACACATGTATGCTTTCTGTTAAAATTATTTAGCAAATATGACAATAGGAAAATAAGTATTCACTTATAAATAGATTCTTTGTCAAATTGTAAGCTTCATGTGAGCAGGGATAATGCTTTATTTAAATTTTGTTTTTTCCCCAGTGCCATGTGCATTACTTTTTCTATGTTATGTACTTAATAAATGTCTTCTGAATTGGACTACTTGCTTTAACACCAAAATTTTTTGCTGATTATTATCTAACTTCAAAATATTCACTAATTAGGACTAATCATAGGGTAGGATGTTCCTAGAATTAATGAGAAATGTAGGCTATAGAATATTTCTAAAAATGCCGTTTTCAAGTATAAACTTAACTCTTCATATTGCCCCCTCCTCTAAAAAAATCTGACTCATTCTTGACTTCCCTCTTTTTGTTAATGATAACACAGTTTTCCCAATTTCCCAAGCTTTAAATCTTGTAATTATATGAATTTTCCTTCTCTACAAAACTCTCCCTCATATCCAAACAGTCACCACATCCCCATTAATTCTCCTATGAAAACATCTTCATCCAAAAATGCCTTTTATCAGCCCACGCCTCTGGCAGCTTCCCAACTGATCTCCCTGTCCCCAGTCTGGTTCCTCTTCTAATCCACCTCACACACAAACACCAGACTAATCTTTCTAAAATGATGCTTTCATTATTTTTACTTCATAACTCAAAAATCTTCAGTTACCCTCAGGAATCTGAAGAAAAAAATCCAATCTTCTCACCTTGTTATTCAGGGTTCTCCATGATCATGTCACAAACATTCTTCCTGTCTTCTTTTTATTCTTTTCCATGTCCCACTCATACCTATTAAGCCTTTTGTAATCACTCTAACCTGAAGTGCCCTTTGCTTCTTTTAAATCTCACCAAATTAGGATGAGAAAGACTATTTGTAAATCCTAACACAGGACCTAGAGTTAGGAAGACCTTAGTTCAAATGTCCCCTTAGACACTTTTTAGCTGTGTGACCCTGGGCATGTCACATGACCTCTGTTTGCCTCCATTTTCTCATCTGTAAAATGAGGACAATAATAGCACCTACCTCCTATGGTTGTGGTGAAGAACAAATGAGATAATTGTAAAGCACAATGCCTGGGGCATAGTAAGCAGTATATAAATATTATTATTATTATTAAAGTGCTGTCTAAATATGAGCTAGTAGTGACTATCACAAAAGTTTTAATTCTTTCACTAATAGTGCATTAGTATGCTTATCTTTCCATAGCCTTTCCTATATTGACTATTCTCATCTTGTGTAATCTTTGCTAATTTGTTGAGTGTGAGATAAAACCTCAGGTTTTTTTTTTCCAATTTTCATTTCTCTTATTAATGATAAAAAGAAAGGCCAAAACATTTTGTAGTAGCACTTTGTTTGCAGTAGCAAAGATCTAGTTATAAATTAGATACCCATACACTGGGGAGTGCCTAAAGAAGCTATGGCACATGAATACTGCTGTCCTGTAAGAAATGATGAACATTAACTAGGAAAACAATATATACAAAAACAGCAATATTGTAAAGATAATCAGCTTTGAAGGCCTTAGTAACTCTGGTAGACATAGTGACCACCTCTAGGTAGAGAGCTGATGGACTCAGTGTAAATTGAAGCATATTTTCTTCTTGTTCTTTTTGGACATGGCTTAATGTGGAAATTTATTTTGAATGACTATCCATATGTGCAAACGAGTTTTGTTTTTCTTGCTTTCTTAGTGAGATGGGGAGGAAAAGGGGAGAGAGATTTCAGAACTAAAAACAAAATAAAATTGAATTGGGGCAGCTAGGTGGTACAGTGACTCTTGCCTTAGAATCAGGAGGACCTGAGTTCAAATCCAGCCTCAGACACTTAACACTTACTAGCTGTGTGACCCTGGGCAAGTCATTTAACCTTGATCTCCTCACTGAAATAAAAAAGGCAAACTAAAATAAAATTGAATTAAGAAAATAAAAAATAATAAATACAAAGAAGCACAGTAAGAGAAATGAGCTGATACAGAATGAAGAAAGCAGAATCAGAAAAACAATATGTATGACTACAGCAACGTAAATGGGAAAGATCCACACAACAAAACAATTGAAACTTAATATGGTGAAATTATAATGGCCAAGGGGATGATTGCCCCCATTACATGGGGAATACTTTCCTGCTGTAGCTAGCAGAAGGACACTACTAATTTCTATTAGTGGTTGAAAAAGAATTATAAAAAGCAACATAATCTATATATACCACATTTTGAGAAACTGCACTACAGTTAAGCCCACCCATCACAATCATGTCATTGTGATCACTGTTTTTACAAGTTATAAATGTGAAAATTATAGAGTTTTTTATCAACAAACATCTTTATAGGGTAGGGACTAGACTATGATTTCATTGGTATAAGGTATTCCCAGAAGAGAAAAATTCCTGTATCAATGGTTAGCAAAATACAGTTTTTGAGTTACTAAGCAAGCAAATGTTGTCATAGTCAGAACTTGAATGAAGGTCTTCCTGGCTCCCAGACCAAATCTCTATTTCCTATGCCATGCTGCTTCTCTAAACATTTCTGTATGTTACCTTACTTTTTATTGTATTACTTTTTTCATGAGTAATATAATTGTACTAATTTCTTATTTTTATACGAATAAAATACAAGCTATGAAAATTATTCGCATGGATTGTTTCATGAGAAGTGTAGGGTGTAACTATTTTGCTTTCATTTCTTTTTTGTGAAAGGAAGATTTTTACATAAAGTTAGTAAGCCACCTCATTAATATAAGACAGCTATTCTGGGTTGATAGCAAGAGTTATTGTATTTTACTTATTTAAGCTTTTGAATAGTTTTAATAGAAAATGAGAATTTATGGGATCATAATCTGTTCCCATTTCAAAAGGTCATGATAGTTTTATCTTTCACTTTTTAGAAGATATATCATAATGCTACCAGACATATCTTTAAAAGTAATCAAAATATTGAAAGTTACTTTCTTTACATATTTTGGACATTTCAAAAATAAATCCAAAAAGTTGAACAAGGCATACCAAACTCCCAAGGTGGGGATAAAAAACTCAAGGACTAGATGAATTTACATATAAAAATTGCATTATTTTAAAGGAAAGAAGGAAAGAAGCATTTTTGAAGACCTACTATGTGCCAGGCATTGTGCTAAGTGCTTTATAGGTATTATCTCATTTGATTCTCACAACAACCCTCAGAGGCTGGTGACATTATTATTCCTATTTTATAGTTAAGGAAACCAGGGAATAAGTGAAGTGACTTGCCCAAAGTCACATAGCAAGTAAGTGTCGAGATATGATTTGTTTTTTAAATTAATTTATTTATTTTTAGTTTTCAACAATCACTTCCATGAGCTTTCGGGTTTTAAATTTTCTTCCCCTTCCTCCCCGCCTCCCTTCCCAATATGGTGTGCAATCTGATATAGGCTCTACATATACATTCCTATTAAGCATATTTTCACATTAGTCATGTTGTAAAGAAGAATTAGAACCAATAGGAAGAACCACAAGAAAGAAAAAACAAAACAAAACAGAAGAAGAAAAAAGAACAAATAATATGCTTCGATCTGCATTCAGACTCCATTAATTCTTTCTCTGGATGTGGATAGCATTTTCCATCATGAATCTTTTGGAATTGTCTTTGCTATAAAAATTGTTTCTCAGCTTTCTAATCTTGGTCACATTGTTTTTTTTATGCAAAACCTTTTT